TTAATAATTTAGCATTGACATTTAGATCAGGTAGGCGAATTTACTTAGCGTTTCCCTGACACTTTATATTTGTGAGGTGCTTTGGCATCCCTGATTAGTTAATTAACAAGGTGGGAAAGCAAAATAGATCCTGAAACGCATGGCTAATGCCTTTAAATCTAGCAACTCTGTAAGAACCACTGAGAGCTTTAGGCTGTTTGCCGTGAGAGATGGTTTTGGCCAAGGTGCTGCTGGGAGAGCTATTCAGTGTCTTCTGGTTGCCTGAAAAGACTTTGGTCACAATGACAAGGTTTTTCTCTGCTTCTGCTTATGTAAAGAGGGTCTCCTCTCCAGTCTACGGTGGGTTATTTGGTTTTCTTCACTTAAGTAAAGGAGAAATTACTCCTGTTTCTCAAGATGCAGTTAAAAAAAAAAAAACAACCAAGGTTCAAATAACTTTGGATACTTGTCTGCATTACCAAGTTACCCATCCTGTGCAGAAAACCGTTCCTCTTTCTTTTCACTCCCCATCTTCCCTGTAGGACTGTATCTAACTGAGTTGATGTTACTGGTTCTTCATCTAGTCCACAGACCTCTTGCTACCTGTAGTTGACTAACCTGCCTGGGGACATCCTCTAAGAGTGGGCTTAATTAGCACTTTTATCTGCCCATTAAGCAATGAAGCTTGAACTCTCCTGCAATCAGGAACTGTTGTAGTGTCGAATCTTTAATAATATATAATTCATTTTAATAGTGTTTCTATAATAATCTTTCTATTAGTATGCCAGTTCTGCAACACTGGTACTTTAAGTATAGAAGCAGCAATTTACTAGAAATATTATCATGGAAAAAACAATTCTCAACAGATTTGCAGCCTGCTTTACTTAGATAATTACTGCTAGAGGCTGTTAAGGTTTTTTATTCTTTGGGGCAGTAGGTGTTGCAGTGCTTTTGATCTATGAGGTCATTATGAGGTCATTCTTCCCTGGAGTGATGGTTTGAGTCACTGTGTCACTCACATATTTTTTGGACTAACATCCTAATAGTTTTTCTCCCATGCTGATTTCTTTTTGGACAAGGTTCAGAGCTAACAAGATTTCGTTTTGATTTGCCAGCCTAAGTTTTAAGAAGGATGATATTTATTGTATTGGCGGGGGAGTAGGGGGGTGTTTAATAGAGCCATGATGGGTGATTTTATTAGCGACTGTACCAGACACTGTTTTTGGTGCTTTACACATATTATCTAATTTTCCTAACAATCCTATAAGGAAGGTAGTATAATCACCTCACATTTCAGATGATGAAATTGATGCCCAGCTGATTGAGCAGGTTAAATAAATGACAGCTGGAATCTAACCAAGGCAGCCGGAGTTGAGTTCAAATCCTTAACCACCATGCTATCTTGCTCTGTAGATTATTCTTTCAGTAGGTATTTTATTTCTACCTGCTGTCTGTACAGCATTGCATTCTGCACTGTGGGGAGGAGAAGAGCGTGTTACAGAGTAATAACAAACACTGGGTTAGGAGTTTCTGTTCTGGTCTTAACTCTGCCACCCGCTAATCTGTGATTTCGAGCAAGATACCTGATCTCCCTGCCTTCCATTTCCTTGTTGGTGGATTAATAGCAATTGAAGCAGATGAACTAACTAGCCTTAATAACCTCCCGGGGAGCTGGAGAGATGAGTCAATGCATGTAAGAATTAAATGTCCTCCCTGAAGCACAGTATAAGATCAAATGTCAAATGAGTAGGGTGTGTGTGTGCACTGTGTGTATGTGTCATGGAGAAGGACTGGAAGCCATGCATACACTATGCTATGCTGGAAGTGTGATAGTGAGAGACTTCATCTTAAACACTTCAGTGTTGTTTTGTTCTGTTGCCACCAGCATTGTTCCTTTTGTAATTAAAAAAACAACAACAACAACAACAACCAAAAAAGAAGCCATCCCATAGAAATGGGGTAACCATGTGTAGGACTACCTGAGGAACATTTGTAGAGGATTGCTCGGCATCACTTTGCAGGAGGCTAGGGGTCAGACAATGGCAGGACCTGAGTAGCTGACCCAGGAGTTCCCAGAACATGGCAAGTTGGGGTTGAAAGGACAATTTAAGGTCATTGAGTTTAACACCCTCTTCCTCTTTCTCCTTCCACCATCTCTCCATTGGATAAATCGCTGACACTTGTGTACCTGTCCCACTCAGAGCTCATCCTACTCTTTCAGGGACACCTCTTGGACCAAACATTTGGTGCGCTTCACAAATCCGTGTACCAAACAAGCTGGGATTGTATCCATGACAGGGAATGGGAAACTGCAGAAGGATTCTGCACCCACCTGGCATGTGCTCTTGAGAGATCCTCATTGATGTGAAACCTGGGTTACGGGGGAAGCGCTAAACCAGGGAGACCAAGTAGGAAGCCTTGGCCAGAATCTAGGATTGAAGTGATTCAGACTGAGACAGACAGTACCATGGGATTGCAGAGGAAGGAATGGACCTCAGAAGATAGACTCCCCAGCACCCAGTGCCTGTCACCATCAGAGAGGAGGAACAAGTCAGCATCTCCCTGGAGTGAGGTGGGCAGTGGGTGAGGTGGAGCTGAAAGGTATGCTGGGGTTACGGGGAAAGACAGTTATGTATGTATATCCTCTAGCGTTTATAATAGGCTGTGGCTAATGTAAGCCCTTTGCGGACCAGGAGACAGCTTTTCTTTCTTCTTAAGAAGGGGTGCACCATTTAAATATAGTGGGAAACTCCTTCTCCCTAATGAAGAAATATGACAGTGTTTACCCTTGGGTGTTGCAGTGTCTTACAGTGGCTCCCTTAGCCAGATGTTGAGCTTCTTGGTCACATTGGGAATCTGGTGTTAATTGAAGTTGTACGAGGAGGACACATAGGTGATGCTTTTTTCCTGATTTTGTTGGGAAATCTTTTGGGGGATCCTGTTCTCCAGTGACATCTGTTAAATATGTGGTGGAGAGCCAGCAGACTTCATGGGGAATGATCACAGAGTCATAAGACATTTTTCTTTTCAATGCGGATTGTGTGGCACTTCAAAGAGGGCTTGGGCCGAAACGATTACCCATTGACAGGAAAACAGGATAGTTTGGAGGAAACAAATGAAATGTACACAGGAACCACAAAGACAGAAAAAGTTGTTACAAGTATTATAAGTTCATTTTTCTCTTGCTATTTTATGTGTTCCTGGCTTAGGATGTACCATTTCTTAACTATTAATATTTTTATATTTATAAGTTGAAATATATTGTCAAATAGCATGTGTGGAAATAAACTGTATAATTTCTTTCTTTTTTTTTTTGCCAGGATAATATTGGTCTTGGTTCTTCAAAAATTTTTAGGCCAGTGGTTCTCAGCCAGGAGCAATTTGTCCCCCTAGAGAACATTTGGCAATGTCGGGAGATATTGTTGGTTTTTACCACTGGGGGTGGGATCGGTACTACTAGCATCTGGTGGGTGGAGACTAGGGATGCTTCTGAATATCGTACAATGCACAGAACAGTCTCCACAACAAGGAATTGTTCAAAGTTGTTAGTGTTGAGGTTGAAAAAAACTCCACTTTGGATGATAAAAAAATTTCTTATAGGAGCAAATGAAAGTCAAAGGGAAGAGGAAAATGTTCCGTGACTTCTTGAAAATGATAACAGCACCCTCACTTCTGGCACCCAGGAGGGAGAACAAACGAAACAAGTTGCTGGAACACAGGCATTTGTCTGCCACCCAGGAGCTATTTCAGTAACTGGATTGCTCAACACAGTAGTTTGGAACAGGAAGTAGAGGCCCTTGTACTGGGACGAGGCTGTAGGGGTAATTTGTGGAGGCAGAGGGTTTATAGGCCAAGAAGGGAAGCTTGGTCCTGCCAGAATAATTTTGAAAGTTCTAGGGAATTTTTCAAAGGTGATTTTGTTGGGGACACTGAGTGTTGTGCTTTGATCAGTGGTCCCCAAGCTTTTCGGCATCAGGGACTGGTACTTCTTTGAGAATCTAATGCCTGATGATCTGAGGTGGAGCTGAGGCAGGCGGTGATGCTAGCACTGGGGAGCGGCTGCAAATACAGATGAAGCTTTGCTCCCTTGCCTGCTACTCACCTCCTGCTGTGTGGCCCAGGTCCTAACAGGCCACAGACCAGTACTGGTCTGTAGCTTGGGGGTTGGGAATCCTTGGCTTAGAAGACACAATCTCTGCTCTGGGAGTAAATGAACCCTCTAGGCTGTTGATCTGAGCACTTCTAGATTCTTCTGTATCTAGGCAAAGAGTAGAGAGTGAAGAACACTAGTTTCGTTTTCAAGTTGTATTTGTGTTCTTCCTGACTCTTCTTTAAAAGCTTATTTTTTTCTGAAAAATTTCAAACATATACAAAAATTGAGAAAAGA